ACATTAAACTAAAAAGAGTCAGCACAGCTATGCAGGCTGACTCAGAAATTTAGTAGCTCTAGGGTCGCTATTATTCAAGCAAGGGAAGTAAGAGCGGCCTAACGATCGATTAGAGGATACAGGACTACAACTACATCATCACGCTGGATAGGGGTGTTTCTCATTCAATTATCAACAGTACAATAGTCAAAGAAAAATGCGAACCGTTAGCTGGAGTACGGTTTCGAGCAGCAACAGGTGAGGAAGCTGCTATTAAAGGTAAAATTATGAGAATAATTTCTATTATCGATGAAGCATGAATCTCTGGTGGCAGATATAATGGACGGAGTAAAATTGGGGATGGATTTTATGGCAGAACATGACTTCGTACTGGATATGAAAACGCAAGTGTTACAAACCGCTAATGTGACTTTGCCATTGACTCTGGGATACAACAGACAAGCCGAAGTGTGACAAGTTTTAGAAGAAGATCCCTTCAAACTCCGAAACAATAGTGTGGGCCACAGCTATCCATCTGCTAAGACTAAACAATGTATGGGTTGTCGAGCCGAGGAAAGGAGGTCCGAAAGATAACATCATCATTGGAAAAGCGGTTATCTCACCGGTCAACAATTTAATACCAGTACGACTATTAAACCATCAGCGTTGCAGCAAAAATTTTGCAAAGGTGACATTATAGCGCAATACCAAAAGCCGAATATGTGGTAGATCATCAAGCCGAAATTTCGAAAACATGCTCAAAGGTATCCCCAGGGGCTGAAATTCTCATAAAAAGATGGACTAGCAATCTGAATGAGCAGCAGAAGAAATATGCCAAAAAGTTTTTGATGGAAAATGGTCCATCTTTGCCGGCGTTACAAATTCTGGTGGCCGTACTAATGCTGCGAAACATGTAATCAACACTGCAGCAGCTAATCCGATTCGGCAACGGCCTAGAAGAATTCCACTGGCAAAAAGAGGAGAAATCGCGGACTTGATCAAAGATATGCAAGAGCGAAAAGTTACCGAACCATCGAATAGCCCTTAGGGTTCGCTAGTAGTTCTTGTTAAAAAAAAAGATGGGTCTACCAGATTTTGTGTGGATTATAGGAAGTTAAACGAAGTAACTAAGAAGGATAGCTACCCTTTGCCTAGGATCGACAACACCTTAGACAAGTTGTCAGGTTCGCAATGGTTCTCAACCTTCTAAAAGGACTGCGCTGGAAAACATGCCTGGTATATTTGGATGACATTATTGTCATGAGTAAAGGTTTCAAGGAGCACCTAAAAAATCTGGCAAACGTTTTCCACCGATTACAGGCAGCAGGTTTAAAATTGAGTATCGAAAAATGTATGTTCTTTGTGAAGGAAGTGACATATCTTAGGCACAAGGCGTCCACGATTGGAATTCACACGGATGAAGGGAAAATTAGAGCAGTAAAAGAATGGTCACAGCCAAAACAATTTGCATGAAGTTCGAAATTTCCTAGG